TGTAAATTCGTTTAATTCTATCAACGGTCTCAAACACGGCAAGTATACCGGCCGTTCAAGTAGTAAAAATATCGTATCCACAGGGATTAGAAGGTAATATAAGCATTTATTGACTATTCGTGACTAAAGAATAATTCCAATTTCATAGTTTGTGCAGTGAATTCAAAGTTGTGACTATTGGAATGAAAGCTGTAAATAAATATTGTTTTGTGAGTGGAAAAGGTAAGGAATGGTATTGTGGTATTGTGAGGTTGTGGGGGTCAGATTTCACCAAACGTAACACTAATGTATCCTTAATCTCTTGTTGAATTCATTGCTTAGTCAACCCAAGAGTTTACTCAAACCTAATCCCTTAGAGAAAGAGCCTAGGTGCGGATATTGAATATCAATCCCTTGAGTACCCAATATCTACACCCGCATTACGGGCTAGGGTTTAAGACTACTAATGGGTCAAGCTCTATCCCTAGATACAATCACCACTAGGCATATGTTTCAGAACTAGTTTCAAAGGTTATTTTCCAATACCCATGGAACCTTAAATCATGCAAAGGGTGATCAATCCAAAGCAAGCATTAAGAATAGAAACAAACACAACAAAGAATAAAACAACATGTATATATATCATTAAAACCGTAAAGATTACAATAGAGTACGTTGGTTACATCTAACCCCACAAAATGGGTGAAACCACTCAACAAAGAGGGCAAATACAAAATAGAGATGAAAGGAGGATGAAGAACCGAAGGAAAGATCCGCACACGGACGATCCCAAGCCCTGGGAATCCCTTCCGCAGCTCCTGGAGGCGCCCAATGTGAGAATGGAGAGAAAGATCCCCGAAAATGGCTTCAAATACGAGCCTGGGAGATCAGATTAGGGTTCCGCGCCCGGCGCACAATTCTTCGCGCCCGGCGCAAGTTCTTCCAGAGAAGTCAAGCACTCTCTGTCTCAACACAAGCCCGGCGCAATTCCTTTTGCGCCCGGCTTAATTCCTTTTGCGCCCGGCTTAATTCCTTTTGCGCCCGGCGCAATATAACTGGCAGAGATGAAATACTCTGTTTTTGTCACGCCCAGCGCGGGTTATATTGAGCCCGGCGCAGAACCTCTTCTCTGCTCCTTAGCTTCTTAGGTTTCCAATCCTAAGAGTCTTCAATCCTCAAGTCACTAGCTCAATACCTGCACAAAAAATGAGGTGTATTAAGGTATTGTTAGCTGAATTTGGGTTAGTTATATCTGCACACAAAATGAACCAAAAAGAGAACAATTATATTGCAATGGTTCAAAGGATGAGTGGAATTTGTTCAATAAGTCTCATCCAAAAAGAGGTAAAATTGAGACTTAACAAGTTTTCGTATCAAAATTTTATACTTGGATTTAGGTATTTGGCTAAGAACTCATGGTCAACTAAGGTTGAATACCAAGAGTTTATACTTGGATTTTAGTATCAATAGTTTATACTTATGTTTAGGTATTTGGCAGAAGTAATCGGAGTGATTGAATGTATTGTATATATATTACGTAGCATATGAAGGTCTAAGGTAGGTATATTTATAGGTAAAGGAATGTTACCATTGGAAATCTAGTCATTAAATGTATTCAAGAGCCTTTATTACCTTGTAATGATCAAATGTTATTCTTTGTAATGATTGATACGAGGGCTTTGGCTTGGTTGAAAACTCCTCAGCCTCATAGATTACTCTGGTAATTGATGACATTTTGGCCTATCCGAGTACTATACTACAAATGGGACCGACCATATCTGGGCCTTGAGACCTTTCTAGTACAGGGTTAAATTAAACATTTTAAAAATAATAGGACCAAATTGAATAAAAATGAATAAATTGCACTTTTAGTCATTCTATTTTTCATCATTTCGCAATTTTGGTCCCTTCATTTTAAAAGAGACATTTAGTCCTTTTAATTTTAAAAATACAAAATTTTGGTTTTCCTATCAAATTGATATCTACTAATTGTTAAGTTTTAATGTTTACTTGTATTCAAGTAATGCGACATTTAATTACATGATATTTAGAAACTAAAAATAATTATAAAATATGCAAATAAATTTTTTATTAATAAAAATAACTATCAATCATTCAAATAAATAGATATAAATAAAAATCTTTTGTATGTTATCTTTTAATTTTTATTCATAAATGTTACATTGTTAAATATCACATCACTTAAGTGATAATAAATTAGCAAACAATGTCAAAATTTAACGATCAATGAATATCAAATTAACGATAGAACCAAAATTTTGTATTTTTAAAAATTAGGAACTAAATGTCTCTACTTTAAAATAGAGAAATCAAAATTGTAGATCGACAAAAATAGAGAAACCAAAAGTGTAATTTGGCCAATAAAAATTTATCTAACTTTTTTTTTTTTATCTAGATAAGTTTGATGTTTCTTTTATTTACCTTAACATGATCATAAATGATAACAAATTGATTATTTAAAATTAAAAAAGTGATCACAAAATGAAAAAGTATCCTAATAAAATAAGTTATTAAATAGGTAAAAGAAAATTGAAATTTATCTAGACAAAAAAATGCTAGATAAATTTTTGTTCAATTTAGTTCATTTATTTATTGAATGTTCAATTTGATTTCACTATTTTTAAATGATTCAATTTCGCCCCCTGATTTTCAAACGATATTCAATGTTGTCCATCCATTTGATTTCATTAACATTGTTAATATCAAGTTAGATGAAAGGATAACATTGAACGGTTTCAAAAAATTATAGAACCAAATTCAACCATTTAAAAATAGTTGAATCAAATTAAATCTTAAAAATAAACAAATGAACCAAAAGCATGATTTAGTCGATTATTAAGTGACTAAAGACTAGGAGTGCAAGCAAGTTGGATTAGTCTGATTTTGGATGAATTTGTTACCCAATTTGATTAAAATTTAATAAGTTAGGTTAGGTCAGAATTTTTTTTAAATCCAACCCAACTTAATTCGATCACGAACGGGTTGAATTAAGTTGGGTTAATTGGACAACATAATTAAATTTATTTATTTTTTATAAAAAAAATTAAATATTTTATTGAAAGTTGTTATAATAAATATAAATTAGGCTTAATTGCATTTTTGATCTCTCAAGTATTGCAATTGTGCAATTTTGATCCTCAAAGTTTTAATTGGGTAATTTTAGTCCCTAAGTATTGCAATTGTGCGATTTCGGTCCTTAAATTTTTAATTAAACAATTGTAGTCCCTCAAATATCATAATTGTACGGTTTTAGTCTCTTCTATTAAAAATTTAATAATTTTAATATAT